AAAACAAAACAAACAGAATTACATGTATAAAATTGAAAATAGTTCTAAATAGCTAAATTATATATTTTAAAAGTTAATCTATTTACAAATGCGTCCAAGAAAATGAATCAATCTCATTTGATGTTCACCTGTGGATATCATTGTTGAGTCACATGTTGTAGTTGCAGTAGTGGTACTAGTTGTAAACCCGGCTTGAGAAAAGCTATCTACCGTGCTGCTGTTTACTTTAGTCTGTAAAAAAACAGTAGTTTGTTTATTGCCCGATTTCAAGCCGAGTGAGGACTGGTCACAATCCCCTAATTGGAATAGTCATGACATAAGACTTACATAAAAAGAAAGCCCTTGTTGAGAAATGCAAAGTTCCAAAATCTGGTGTCAATCAGTTCAATAGTGAACGAGTTACAGCCTTTCAAATATTCTAAAATTTCCAAAGAAATGTATGTGATCTCGCGAATGTGTCTGGAAAATGGTCTAAATACGGACACATTCACGGCTTCCCGTACATTTCTTTGCAAATATTAGAATATTTGAAAGGCCGTAACTCGTTCACTATTGAACTGATTGACGCCAGATTTTGGAACTTTGCATTTCCCAGCAAGGGCTTTCTTTCTATGTAAGTCTTATGTCATGATTATCCAATTAGGGGATTTTGCCAAGTCCCCACTCGGCTTGAAATCCGGCAATGATTGGAAGGTTTCAATCAATGAAAAAAATATTCAATAATTTAGGCTCAGTTTACATAGAGATAGGACCATGCTATTAGGATAGTCAGCCTACTAGAAGAGATATAACTCTCGTTTATATGCAAACTTGGGGTCACTACAGTAGTAGGACTAGAATCATAAATGTTCACTAAGCTCTGAACAAGCAGAAAAGCTTTCTTTTTAGGCACCTCATTCAGCTTTTTGTAATTATTGTACTTGATTGKGTTTTTTCAGTGCTGTGACCTATTGTATTTTTAGCAATATAATATTCAATAATATCTCAACACCGTCACAATGGCAGTTTATTTGAATTAAACTCCCCTAGTGTAACCCTACCTGAGCATTTATGTTAGCTGTCCTTCCTAGAAGAGTCACATTACCCATTGGGTGACCCTATATGACATGTGAATACAACCACATAACACAATAGAGTAGGATGACCCTACTGATAGGAATGCATGAATGCATCTTTCTTACCTGCTGATTGGTTGTGGCTGCTAGACTTACAACTGCAGTAGTTGGTAAAGTCACYGGTGTAACAGGATTCCCTTGCAAAATCTGCTGCAATGACACTAGATTGGAGGGTATTGATGCTATATTCACTGGTTGCTGCTGAATTCCTGCCTGAGTTGATTGTGGTTGAGGTGTTATCAGTATTGCAGTTGGGATACTAGACTGGGAAACAACTGGTTTTGGCTGAATGTTTATSTTTGTTGTCTTAGCTACTGTTTCTTGTTTAACTGCAAACACCATTCCTTGTTGCTGTGACTGTTGTTGTTGTTGTTGTTGCTGTTGTTGTACAAGTTGATATTGTTGGGGATGTGTCAGATGTTGTTGTAACACCTTATTGGTTGACTGCAATGCAGAAATAAGCTGGGAGGATTGCTGGTTCTCTTGCAGCTGCTGTTTGAGCTGTTGCTGTTGCTGAATGAACTGTTGTTGCAGCTGTTGTTCTAGTGGATAAGATTGACTTTTGTTGTTAAATTGCTGCAATACTTGTTGCTGCTTTTGCATTTGCAATAGTTGTTGCTGTAGTAGTTGTTCCTGGGAATTTCCAGATATTTGATGCTGTTGTCCATGTTGCTGTGACAACTGATGGAGTTGTTGCTGCTGAAATAATTGCTGCTGTTGTTGTTGTTGCTGTGTTAACAGCTGCTGCTGTTCTTGTTGTTGTTGTGATAACAACTGTTGTTGCTGCTGCTGTTGTTGAGCCAATAATGGCTGTTGAAACTGCTGCTGCTGTTGCGATAATAGATGCTGTTGTTGTTGCTGCTGCTGTAACAACTGCTGTTGTTGTGCCAACAATTGCTGCTGCTGTTGTTGCTGTTGAGGCAATAGCTGCTGTTGAGACTGCTGTTTTTGTTGTTGCTGAAGCTCCACTTGTTGCGACTGTAGCGACAACTGCTGGTGCAAATCACTCTGTTGAATCAAACCACTTGGTTGTGAAGACATCATACCTCTTTCTTCGTTTGCTGAGCCTTGCAATAAAGACAATAATTGGGATGATAGCTGATTTGTTGGTACTTCCTGACTCAACTTAGGCTGAGTTGCTGGTTTTTGAATTAACTGAAGCACTTGCTTCATAACGTGGTTATTTTCCTCTTTGTCTTTCTGAGGTACTTGAGTATTCTCACCCAAATGAAGMAGCTGAGTCAACACTGAAGACTGTGGAAATTTCTGTTGACCTGTCGATTGTGKTGCAGAAGCAGGAGATGAGAACTGTGCCAGTTGATCCAACAACGATACCTGTTCAAGAGCTTCTGTTGTCATCATTGAGCTAGAACYCATTGGYGAGCCYCCCACTTCTTGTTTCATTGCTTGATTGACCTCATGTGCTTCAGCTAAAGTCGATGAAAACACTGGATGTGCACTTTGTTGGCTTGTTGGAGGACTCATTGCTCTATTTGGGTCAGATGACTTTCTCCTTTGCATGGACGATAMGTTAGAACTAGCCGTTTGGAGTTGTTGCTGGTTCATGTACATAAGCGATGAATCRGACATATTACGAGGCAGTTTGCCTCTTCTAGTTCTTGATTTATTTTGAGTTGTATTTAAATTTTGTTGTCTCTGTGTTTGTCCATTTTGAGTTTGCTGYTCAATTGGTGTTTGTTGTGGTGGACTTGTAGCAAGGTTCTGTTGATTGAACATATGAACAGGGTGCAWYCCACCACCTGAYGAGTTATACAGCCTTGAATCTGACATATTTCGCGGAATTCGAGGTCTCTTAGGCTGTGAAGCTGCTGTATCTGTAGCCCCACTACTTGTGGACTGCAAGTAGGCCACAAGATTTGGAAATTGATCCTTAGCTGACATCTTTCTCTCCTGGGATTGCCCAAAAGGTGCATTAAAGTTGAACTGAGAATTCTCCATGGATGATAGTTGATTATCAGAAACATTCCTTGGTAATCGTGCCTTCCTTGTTGGTGACGTACTGTACTCTTGTAAATTACAACTACTGTGTCTATAAGGAATGCTGCGTCCATGGCTCAGACCAGCACTAGGGGAWACTTGATATGACGACTGYGAGGARGTTGASGAGGACCGTGGTATCTGCACAGGAGACGTCATYGCCTCCGRTGTAAATATCTCGTGTTCTGATTCTTCCTCAAGTTGTGTTAATGGAAGACTTTCRTGCGAAAGAGGTTGTGATATCGGGTAATCCTGGATCTCCATKTGATTACTATAGTCCATTGGGAACTGRGTAAACGATTCGGTTGTGTTCATGTATGTTTGTGATTGTGCCTGTGAGGTATTYAGTGCAGTACTAGTTGTGCACATTGAATAAAGTGGATTATATTCAGATGTGTGTTCCATCATTTCAATCTGATCTTGTGGACCATGCCTTAGCGARAGC